AAATTTTGGCCTGTGCCAAGGAGACCTAGGGTTTCTCCTATTCCATCCTGTAATGTTTTCAGAGTGTCTGCTTTGACTCCGAGGTCTTTGATCCATTTGGAGTTGATTCTGGTGCAGGGTGATATATATATAAGGCTCTAGCTTTAGTTTTCTACAAGTAACTAACCAATTTTTCCAGCACCATTTACTGACGAGGCTGTCTTTCTTCCATTCTATTTTTTTACCTCACTTATCAAAGATTAGATGGCTATAAGTCTGTGGGTTCATTTCTGGGTTTTCAATTCTATTCCATGGGTCCTGAGGTCTGTTCTTGTGCCAGTACCAAGCTGTTTTGATTACTATGGCTTTGTTGTAGAGTTTGAAATTTGGTATTGATATTCCTCCAGCACCAAAAACAGTACTTTTCTTTCATACTCTCATCAATCCTATAAAGTAGGCATTTTAATCTACAAATACAAATATCAAAAATTATGAGTCAACCACTTGTGGCTCATGACTGGAATCCCAGCTGCTCAGGAGGCTGAGATCTGAGGAATGCAGTTCAAAACCAGACTGGGAAGGAAAATCCATGAGATGCTTATCTGTAATTAAACACCAAAAAGTCAGAAGTGGATCTGTGGCTCCAGTGAGCTAGCTCTAACCTTTAGCAGATAAAGCTCCAGGACAGTGCCCAGACCCTGAGTTCAAGCTAAAAATAAAAATAATAAAATTATGCTTTATTTATATGGCTAATACATTGCCAGAATGCATACATATGACCACCTTATTCTAAAGCCTTATATGAGAGTCCTGTAAGAGGCAATGACACATGAAGTAGTTGTCAGAGGAGAGAATTAATTAAGAGTTTTAAAGTGACTAAAATAAAAACTAAAGAGACCAAAGACATCAAAACCAAAATGGTATGAAAACAGAATCAAACTATATTATAAAATGAAAGCAAGGACTAGATGTTGCAAGAATGTGCTAGGAACATATGAAGGTAAGAGATATCTTCAAGAATAAAGAAAACACAGACAGGCAATTTAGATAATTATAAATGATCATTATTTATAAGTTTAAAATACACATAAAACAAAACCAATAATCACCTAATGACATTTTTAATATATATAAAATATATTGATACCTACAATATAATGTTAGAAGAAAAATGAACTTTTACTCTTATAAGGTCCTTATACTTTTTTGGAAGATATAAAACAGTAACTCCAAGTAGATTATTAAATGTATATCACATATACCTCCCTAGTACAGCCACTAAAATATGAAAAGATACTCACAAAGCTAATACACAAATAAAAATGGAATATTAAAATAAATTCAAATAATTTAAAAGAAGGATAAGGAACAAAAATACGAAAGAAACAAATATGAAACAAAATTTTTGACAAAAGTCCAAACTTGCCAGGCTCTGGTGGCTCACGACTGTAATCCTAGCTACTCAGGAGGCTGAGATCTGAGGATCATGGTTCAAAGCCAGCCTGGGCAGGAAAGTCCGTGAGACTCTTATCTTCCAATAAAACTACCTGAAAACCTGAAGTAGTGCTGTGGCTCAAATGGTATAGCACTAGCCTTGAGCCTTGAGCTGAAGGACAGTGCCCAGACCCAGAGTTCAAGCCCCATGATCAACAAAAAAAAGTCCAAACCTATCAGTAATTATATTAAATATAAATGGTTTAGTCACTGAATTAAAGTGAGAGATTGTGAAAATAAAGGAAACTAAATTTGTATCTTTCTGAAATCCACTATAAATGTAAAAGAAAATGCTGAAAGAACTCGCATTATTAAATAGTAATCAAGGCTAAACTGTGAAACATGAAAATAACTAAAATTATGAAAAAAATTGCTTATGTAGTCTATTCCTTGATAACAACTCCAAAACTTTTCTGTATGCCTCTAGCTTAAAATTCCTACCTCGAGCTTAGCATCTTCCTTCAATTCCATATTGAACATCCCTTTTGACATCTCAAGGTTATAGTAAGAAGCAGAACAAAATTATGAAGTCTGCAGCTGAAAATGTTAGACGCTAGTAAGCTTTTCTGTGGTGATAAAATCCAATTACTTTCTATCAAGATAATGGCGATTAAAATAATAAATGACTTTTGGGGGCTACTCACTAAGTACAAGGTGAAGTCCAAAGCACTTCTCACCAGATCTCCCAACATCTCTGTCATGCAACAGTATTATTCTACCTATTTTACTAATGGAAACCCTGAGATCCAAGCCTCATGGTTAGCAATGGACAGGAGTAAAATTAGAATCTAAACTTACCTGACTTTTATACCACACAATATTAGTTAATCAAGTATCCATTCATTAAAACTCCTTTGCCCCTTGATTCATTAAAGGTATATGTTGCTGGGGGCTAGTGGCTGATTCCTATAATCCTAGTTACTCAAAAGGCTGCGATCTGAGGAATGAGGTTTGAAGCCAACTGGGGAGACAATTCCAAAAGACTCTTTACTTAACTAGCAAAAAGCCTCAAGTGGAGCTGTGACCCAAGTGGCAGAGTACCAACCTGAGCAAAAAAAAAGGAAGCCAGGTGCCAGTGGCTCACGCCTGCAATTCTAGCTACTCAGGAGCCTGAGATCTGAGGATCTCTGTTCAAAGCCAGTTCAGGCAGGAAATTCCTGGTGAGACTCTTATCTCCAATTAACCCTGAAAAAACTGGAAGTGGCACTGTGGCTTAAGTGGTAGAGCTCTCACCTTGAGCTGAAGAGCTGAGGGACAGTGCCCAGGCCCAGAGTTCAAGCCCCACGACTGACAGAAAAAAAAACAAAACCTAAAGGTCAGCACCTAAGCCCTGAGTTCAAGTCCCAATACTGGTATAAAAAAATAAAAAATATAAGAAAGTATGAATAACCATATTACCATTTTCAATGAAAAGAGTGTAAGTAGACTTTTGCTTAAAACTTCTTTGAAAAATTTTCTCTTGTTTAGTGATACAGGTGGACCCATTGCACCAATTAGATGTACAAGATGTTATGTAGAAAATGAACTTTACAACTTTGGGGGGGGTGAGATGGGAAGGGATGAGAAGGGGAAACAAAGGAGGATGCAACAATGCTTGATAAGAAATGTACTCATTAGCTTGCCCATGTAATTGTAACCCCTCTGTACGTTATTTTCACAATTAAAAAAAATGTAAGTATTTAAATGAGAAAAATATTTTTTAAAAAGAAAGCCTTTCAATGTATGCATATAAATACATGGAACTATGTATGTATCAGACATTACTGGGTCATCCTATAATTCTGAGTTTGTCTAAGAACTGGAGAGCTACTTTATGACAATGAGGGAATTGCAGAAAATTCAAATAAAATTTTAAGTAACTAAAATAGTGAAAATAATGGATAACTTCTAGATTTCTTGGAATGTAAGAAAAATATCTATTAAAATATCATGTTAGTCAAGTTTCTTGTCATTTAGACTTGATAGTGTTCCTAATTGAATATAGGCCCAATGCCCAGGGCTCTTATTCACCAGGCAATATTGCCTCTCACTAGAAAATCAAAGGCTAAGATCTATCATCTACCTCCCTCAGAGTTCATTGTGTGTGTGTGTGTGTGTGTGTGTGTGTGTGTTTTGTCAGTCATGGGGCTTGAACTCTGGGTCTGGGCACTGTCCCTCAGCTCTTTAGCTCAAGGCTAGTGCTCTACCACTGGAGCTACAGCACCACTGCTGGCTTTCTGGTGGTTTATTGGAGATACACAGCTTTCCTGCCTGGGCTGGCTTTGAACCATGATCCTCAGATCTCAACCTCCTGAGTAGCTAAGATTACAGGCGTAAGCCACTGACACCTTGCTGGAAAAATGAAATTTATCATACAATCATATTGCTGTTTGAGAAATAATGATTCTGAACTATGGAAAAAGAATTGCACAAATCTTGTGGAGTTGTTGAACTGAACAGCATTCTCCTCAGAGTATATATTAAATCACACAGCTATCTTTCCATATTATAGAGCTGCCTACCTTGAGAACCATTTCTAAAGTGAACCACCTCTCAAAATGACTTGCTGATCCAGGGGCTTGAAGTCAAGGCCTGAGCGCTGTCCCTGAGCTTTTTTGCTCACAGCTAGGCCACTACCACTTTGAGCCACACTTATACTTCCAGATTTGGGGTGGTTAATCGGAAATAAGAGTCTCTCTGACATTCCTGCCCTAGGATTAGCTCCCAACCACGAACCTCAACTCACAGCCTTTTGAGTAGCTAGGTTAACAAGTGTAAGCCACCAGCATACAGCTATGTATTTTTTCTCTTAGAAATCACCATGAGCCATTATAACCAAACCAAAAGAAAAAGTCATATTGCAATTATGGTAACCCTCTGAATCTCTTCGACATATCTACTGTTTGAGAAAAAAAAGTTTAAATGTTTATTCTACTCCTTTATGTCACAATATATTCATTTTTTAAAACTCCCCAAACACATATTTCAAATGTAGAAAATATTTTTTAGTCTTAAGTGGGCCCAAATTTCATCATGGACTGAAATTTTTAAGACATAAAATGAGTGCTGAAGCTGAATTTTAATCATATAGATGAATCACAACATGCATCTTGAGCTAGGCATGTATTATGGATAAGTCTAGTTTTCTACAGAGAATAATCACATGTTCTAATTACCATTTTGGTTATACGCATAATTAATAATATTCTGTCTTAATGGGACACAGTGAATCTTCAGACAGTTGCAAGCTTTAACTATGCATATTGCCAAATCCAACTGTCAGCTGCACTGCCAAACACAAAGGAATCTTGACGTGGTGTTTTAGCATTGTTAACAATATGCATATCTTTATACATGATACAATGGAAACATTAATTGCTTTTCTTCCCTCAAAATTTTCTCCATACTAATTTTATGTTGCTTGCTTGATCATTAACCCCCAAATGATACACATTAGTGAATGATCTCATAAACAAAACTGTAAATGTGAAAAAAAAATGTGGCTCAAGAGTTAAAGAAGAGAAAAACATTGTTATATAAGGACTTACTGATTGTAAACTTTCATTTTCACGTAAACAGGCTGTGTGAAGCTCTGATTTCAAGGTTGCAATGTGATTTCGATGAGATGTCATTTCCATCTCTAAGGTAGCAATTCTAGTGCTTGCAAGCTGGTAGACATCCATGAAACTTTTAATCATAGCCTTAAGAAATAAAAATAATGTCACATACAATTCAAATAAAGCTGTCCCCAAAGGAGAACCTCCATAATTTGAAAGCAAAATCATTAAAATTTTAGAATAAAAAAATTTCTTGAAATATAATCATTCTAAACCTCACATTTATATTGGAAACAATAACTGCTTTCAGAAAGTTTTGGGAAAAAATAATTGAAACTTCTTTCCAGTTATTCAAATAAGATGTACTTTGATCTTTTGTTCTTAAAATTTAGAATTTAGGTTATAAAAATGGCACACTCATTTTCTGTAGTAAAGTTACATTCAAGTTATAATTTGACCTAAATTTCTATTTTAAGAGAGACACATATAAAAATATATAAACAAGATAACCTCAAAACAAGCTGCATTTGCAAAAATTTTCAATCCATCTAAAAGACAAATGCTCTGAAACAAAAGGACTAAAATAATCCTATGCCGTTTAAAGAGTAAATGATATGATTACTTTATTGAAAGAAAAGCATAATTGTATTCATTCACAGAACTCCAAAATATGCTTACATTGTTACACAAAATGTAAGAAAATAAATAAAAGAAGCAAGTGCTAGTAACTTATTATTCCCCTCAAAAGTACAGTATTTGGGAGATTGATGAACTTCTGTATCATACTTTAACTGTTTTTTACAGACATCTTCAAAAGCAATCTGCACTGAATTTTAAGCCCAACACATATTATTATGCAGTTTTAAAGGTCTTTAAAAATACCTCAAGTATATAAAAAATAAATTCAAATATCTCAAAGATTCTTTTAAAAATAATGCATTACTTATACAAAAATGTTCCCACTGTCACCACAACTTTATAATACAGTAGGGTCTGAATATTTGCACATTGCATTCAATATGGAAGGCTTAAATTGGGAAAGCATTGAAAAACTAGATAATTAAGCAATTCTGAATGCATGTGAAAATGATTCAGTGAAAAAAAGTAAGAAATAGCATATACAATATCTAAGAAACAGATTATTTTCTTGTAGTTAATAGAAAACTCAAAACTTTTTACCTAATTAATTCTTTGCCCTTAAAAAAAAAATCCAGCTCAGGCACCATCTCTTTCAAAACCCTACTTACAGCTGAAAAAGTTCAATTAAGTTCTATTCTGGTTCTCTGTGGGTACCTCACACTTGTTTTTACTATTGCACTTATTGCTTTAACAGTAATTCATTAGTTTATATGTTTAAGAGACTAAGGGCTTCCATAAGGCTGGATACTATGTCTACAGATTTCTATTTCTTCAGGAATGATAGTAGCCCATAGTGATTACTTGCTCAAATGAATAACTAAATCATTGTTTTGAATGGAAGAATGAATGAATGAAAAATTAGAAAAGAAGGGATGGGAAGGGGAAACAAAGGAGGAGGCTACAATGCTTGATAAGAAATGTATTCATTATCTTGCCCATGTAATTGTAACCCCTCTGTACAGTATTTTCACAATAAAAAAAAAGAAAAGAAAAAGAAAAATTAGAAAAGATGAACATTGAAAGACATCTGGGTTGGCATAAAATACCTTACATAAAAGGATAAAGATATTTTGGAAAATATAATTTCAATAATCATCTGATGAATTAATTATATTTTGTTCAAGCTGAAAGAAAAGCAGAAGCACAGCTATAGGCACAAAACGATGGACTATAACAGCATGAACTACATTGTCCAAGACTAAACATGGTACAACATCCCAAATATGCTAATCTACCTTACCAAGAGTTATTTTAATGTGTATTTATAGCAAATATGAGTTTAAAAAATTTCAGCTGGGCACTGGTGGCTCACGCCTGTAAGCCTGTAATCGTAGCTACTCAGGAGGCTGAGATCTGAGGATCACATTTCAAAACTAGTACAGCAGGAAAGTCTGTGAGACTCTTATCTCCAATAAACCACTCAGAAAACCGGAAGTGTCACTGTGGCTCAAGTGGTAGAGCACTAGCCTTGAGCTGAAGACCTAAGGAATAGACCCCAGGCCAAGAGTTCAACCCCCATGACCGACCAAAAAAAAAATTCAATGTTTTGATTGTAAAAGTTAAAAATTATTAGGGCTACAGTAAATGGTGCTGGCAAAATTGGTTAATCACCTGTAGAAAACTAAAGCTAGACCCTTACATATCACCCTGCACCAGAATCAACTCCAAATGGATCAAAGACCTCAAAGTCAAATCAGACACCCTGAAAGCATTATAGGAAGGAATAGGAGAAACCCTAGGTCTCCTTGGCACAGGCCAAAATTTTCTCAATAAAGACCCAGAAACATAACAAATCAAAGAAAGCTTGGACAAATGGGATTGCATGAAGCTGCAGAGCCTCTGCATGGCAAAGGACATAGCTAGCAAGATCAATAATCCCACAGATTGGGAGAAGATCTTCACTAGCCATACAACTGACAAGGGTGTCACATCTAAAAATACTTACAACTCAAAAATTCAAATCCCCCAACAACAAATACTCAAAGAAACAACTGCCCGATAAATAAGCGGGCTAAAGACTTAAAGAGAAACTTCTCTGAAGAGGAAATAAGAATGGCCAATAGACACATGAAGAAATGCTCCAGTTCTCTAGCCATAAAAAAAAATGCAAATCAAAACACTGAGATTCCACCTCACCCCAGTTAGAATGGCTATAATCAAGACCTCTAATAACAACAGATGCTGTATTTTTGGTGGGACTGTAAACTTCTTCAACCACTTTGGAAAGCAGTATAGAACAACAATTGAAACTCAGTAAACATAAATCCTAAGAATGGCTCCAGGCTGGGCTCTGTGAGTGTTTCAGTAGCTTTTCAGAGAAAAGCTACTGGTTGTTGATAGCTTTCAACACCACCTACAACCTAGCCTCATCACAGCAACTGCAAGTTAGAGGCAACAGCCTTCTCCCTCTTTTGTGATACTCAAAGCAGATCTCCCGGGCTGGGAAGGTGGCTCAGTGGTAGAGGCTTGCCTTGCATGCCTGAGGCCTTGGGTTCAATTCCTCAGCACCACATAAGCAAAAAGAAAAGAGCCGGAAGTAGCACCATGGCTCAAGTAGCTTTGAGCTGAAGAGCTGAGGAACAGCTCCCAGGCCCAGACTGGACCCCCCCCCACCCAAAAAAAAAAAGAAAAAGGAAAGCAGATCTCCCTCCCACTGAATTAGCCTGGGAGGAGGCTCACAAAAGTCCTGTGTAAGGCAGAGCTACCTTCTGCCTGCTCAAACAAACTGACATAAGAAACCAATCAAATGACAGGAAAACAAAACACCACAAGCAAATCAGAGACTCTGCCAAGAGACTGGTTACAGACACAGGGGAGATACAAGATTCCTCCCCCCCCCCAAAAAAAATCAAAGAACTCTTTTTTTAACCTATTTTTTTTAATATTTTTAAATTGTTTTCTTTTTTCTTTCATAATTTTTATTTTAGGTGTGCTTGTGGTATTTAAAAAAAAAAAACTCTTTTACCTTTTGGTCCTTTTTTTTTTTCGGTGACTTAATTGCTGTTCTGCTCATCCCCAAATATATACCCATCGTCAATTTTTAGGCCTTATCTTTCATTGTGTGCATACTTAATTCAGAAATTGATTACTCAATTCACAACCTCTTAGGCTTAACTCCTTTAATAGTAGTATTATTTCTTTATACTTATATAATTTTTAAGTATTCCATTTTTAAGTTTTTTATTTTTCCATTTTTCCTTTATATCTCTCTCCTCCTCTCATTCTATCCTTTTTTTCTATCAGTATTATTTCTTTATAGTTACATAATTTTAAGTGTTTCATTTTTTAAATTTAAATTTTTATTTGTTCATTTTTTCCTTGTTTCTTTATCTCTCTCCTTTCATTCTGTTCTGTTTCCTCTCTGAAATTAGAACCTGGTTAAATTCCCTCTTTCCTTTTAGCTCTCCACATTCCTCTAATCCTATTTTTCCCCCACAATTCTCCCTAAACCGATTAATTTCTGGTCTACTAAATCCCTCTTTGACTTTCTTAGCCCATTAATCCATAGCTGTAGGATGTTGAATTAGATTGTATCTGTTAAGCTAGATTATATCTGTTAAGCTAGATTGTATCTACAGCCATTTTCACTGAGTCAATCAATCTGTGCAACTACAGGACTCTGGTTAATGCTTGCCTTAAAATAGGGTTCTAGCATAAAATTGGTGTTACTTTCATACCAAATGGACAGAACAAGCTGGAGAAACACAAGAAAAATGGCAAGTCCAGGTATCTCAACTCCCACTCATGATAATCAGGTGACAGAACAGTTAATGAATAATCCAGAGGAGAGTTCCAAAGAGCTCTACAAAACTAATAGTAAACTTGGTGAATGAAAAGATTGAAAGCCTGAAAAGGACTCAGTGCCAGCATGATAAGAAGATAAGAATCAGAATGAGATAATATAAGAATAATATAAGAATAAGATAAGATAATACAAGAATAAGAACAAGATAAGATAAGATGATAAGAAGAGGCTAACCAAAGATTAATACAGGAACTTTGCGTGCATGATGAGGCTAACCAAAAATTAATACAGGAATCTCATGAGCATGAGGAAGCTAATCAAAGATAAATACAGGAATAGCATGAGCAGGGTGAGAATAGAAAAAGATCAATGAAGGCATTCATAAGAAGACAGCTGAAGATATCCCAGGAGGCCATGAAGGAAATGCTGAATGGAGCCCACCAGAAGGAAAGGGAGTCCAAGGAAACCATAACCAATTAACTAAGGGATTTGAGAATAAACACTCAACACCAAATTAAGGAAGTAAAGAAGTCCATACAAAATCTAAAACAAAACTCCAACAAAGAATTTGCAGTCATCAGAGCTGACCAATTAGAAGGAAAGGAAATAAAAACAAAGTAGAAAATCTTGACATTAGGTTAAACCATGGAGAAGATCAAATCTCTGGGATTGAAGACAGCCTGGATATTATTGAGAAAGAACATACAACTATCCAAGACAAATCCAAGACATATAATAGATCTATTCAACATTTAGAAGA